AAAAAAAAGCATGCTTTTCAAAATCCGACTGGACCGAAAAACTGGTAACCGTTCAGCCCCCGGGTCTGATTATAGTGTAAATTGTTAATACCAAAATAACTGTTGAAAAGGTCAAAAAACCGCTGACCCAGGTGATCGAACCACTAAATCGTTCGACCTGGGCAGTGGTTCGCGGGTTACAAAATTTATTTTCATTAGACTAAAAAAAAAGACACTCATGTCCCCCAATTCCCAAGTCTTACAAATTAAGGTTAGACCGAAAGTTCATTTTTGTTCTAATTCTAATCCTTCCTTGAGTTGCTTCCTCTCAGACGACCTGCGGCAGACACAACCAATGGCGATCGACAGTGAATCACGACAACCGATGACGGCAGTGAGTTTCATCTACAGCAGATTTCTTTTTGTAATCAACAGGAGCAACAAAGGAGCAGCGGCAGGCAGGGGTTTGTAATATGCTGCGACAGTAGCAGTTGGCAGTTGGCAATAGCAACAAGGAGACAAGGACTGCGGCAGCCGGCGATGAGTTTGGTCGCATACCTTGTGTTGTTTTGGATCCTTTTTATTTGTCCCAATTAACTACCACGGCATATCCTTTTTATTTGAAAACTCAATATGATACCATGGCTGTTCATTCATGAATTTTAAATTTTGTTATTTTTTAATATTTTATTTCTTCATAATAATACAATCAACTGAATCAAGGAATATTGGCTTGAGCAGGGTAACGTGTTTCCATGTTAAGTTAAGTTCTTGTGTTGGTTGAATTGCACCCATAAACCAACACCATCTACCTAGCATCCTCAACATGCACCATAGCTGTAGAATTTTTCTAATTTTTTGTGTTTTCTCTGTATTTTTTTAGAAAATTTCTGTATTTCATTTTTATATTTTGTACTGGATTATTTTTTGTATTTAGATAGGTTTATTTTCTGTATTTTATTTAACTTTATGCTCTTTTTTATTATTTATAAATATATTTTTTATTTTTTATTTATTTATAACATAATGAGTCAAACCGTTCGACCCAGATGATTGAACCACTTAACCGGAAACCGGTCCCCTGACCGGTTCTGTTTCCGGGTGGTTTTTAAAAACCTTGCCAAAGAGAGTTTTAAAAATTGAATGAAGACAGAAAGAAAAAAAATTTCTAAATAAAAAATAGAGAGTTTTAGCCACTTACATAACCTAATTTGCATCAGGAACAATGCGAGTGCCATTGAAAAAGACAAATAAGCTTGCAATGGAATTAGATATATTTGAAAAAAGGAAAAGCTCCTTCTACCTGACTTGACGAATAAAATTACATGTTATATATAAGATGTGCAATTAGATAGATTGATATATTTGAAAAGCAGCCACAATGGCATGAACCTTGTTGGTTTGGTTTAGTTTACCTATCCTTTTATAGATGAAGACAAGGCCTTTCATTCAAAGCTAAGCAATGTGAGATTTGGAACAATATTCAATAGTAAGTGTTACCATTGAATGTTATCTCAAGTTCAACATTGCTTAGGTCCCTCCTTATTATGAGGACAAAAAATATAATTTGAATTATTTTATTAATCTCATTTTATTCCTACCCATTAAATCCTATATGTAAGGTATTAACTCACTCATTAAACCCTATATTTAAGGAAGTAACCCTTCATTCCCTCTCATTAAACCCTATATTTAAGGTATTAACTCGCATTACATCTCATTAAATCATATATTTAAGGTACATTGAATAAATGAGCATTATAGACTTTTCTTGACTAAAACACCCCTATTTATGAATTTGGTCCCTCTCTAATTGTATGAACAAAAGATATAATTTAAATTAGAGAAATTGTCCAAAACTCACCATGAGTTTTCAGCATTTCTCTTAAACTCATTACAACTTTTCAAAATGTCTAAAATTCACCATGTCACTAACTTGACGTGAAACGGACTAACGGGTGTTAATATATTACCATTTTAACCTTCAGAGAAAATATAAAATATATACAAAATAAATTAACGGGCATTAATATATTACCATTTTCATATTTAGACATGAAAAAAAGGAAAAAAATCAAAAAATATTTTCAAATATAAAATACATAAAAACATAGAAATTACAAAAAATATAAAAAAATTATAAAAATTTCAAACAGAATAAAAAACTATTTTCAAATTATAGAAACTATGGAAATTGAAAAAAAAATCAGAAAATAAAAATTGTAGAAAAAACACAAAAATTAAAAATAAGTAACAAAAAATATAGGAAAATTTATAGATTGTAGAAAATAGAAAATGTATAAAAAAACAGAAATTATAAAAAACATTGGAAATTATAACAAAATACTAAAAATGCAGAAAAACAAGAAAAGTGAAAAGTGAAGACCATTTTTCCTCTAACTTGCCATTCAAGGGTAATTTGGTCATGAAAACTATTATTTGTGCTGATATAGACACCTCTGTTAAGAAGCATTAATGGTGCACAAACAGAATGTGAGTTTTGGAAAATAAAAACTTACTGACATGGTGAGTTTTAGACATTTTGAAAAGTTGTGGTGAGTTTAAGGGAAATGTTGAAAACTCATGGTGAATTTTAGACAATTTTCGTTTAAATTACTATTACTTTCCACTTCATTCAAAGGTGTTAATTTCCATTCTCTCCTTAGATACCTTATTTGAACTAACTTTGTTTCTCATCAATAAATTCTATTAATTAAATATATATCCAATATTTTAATAATATAGAACTTGTGTTCAAAACCAATATGAAAAATAAACCACCCTTTTGTTTGGATAGTGGTTAAGTAGTTCAACCATCCACATTAAATGGGTCCACCAATGGTCCCACAGTTAAATAATAAAAATTAAATATATATATATATATATATTAAAAACTACAAATTTTGTTAAAAAATTTAGGCACTTCTCTAATATTATATATTTATTTTATTAAACAACAATAAGTATGATAAACAAATACTTTTATTAATGATGTAAATGAAATACAAATTTTTAAATTGACTTAGAAATGAAACCAATTTCTCATTCAAGCAGTGGGTCAATGGTTCAACCTTTTGGGGCAACGAGTCAACCCATGATGTTACCTAAATAATAAAAAATTTTATAAAAGATAGACAGAAACTTATTAAAAATATAGAATTTTTGTAAAAAAACATTTGGGAGCATCTCTAACATTATATATTCATCATATTAAACGAAAATAAGCGTGATACATAAGAAATTATTTTTATTCATCATATTAAACAAAAACTAAGTTAGAAAAGAAAATTATTTTTGCATCTAATTAGTGGACAATGGTCCACAGGGATATAAATTGGGCAAGATTGAGCCCAGACTAATCCAACTTGCAATTTTAAATAGGCTGACTCGGATTTTCGATCCTTGAATTGGGCCTACACCTATCTCAAAAGTTTGGGCTTTCTTATTTATTTATTTTGTTGGGCCCAAACCTAACCCTTTAGTAGTCCAAGTCAGCCCTGACTATGTACATGCATAAATACATATATAGACACCTACATGTATATTTGCATGCATATACAATTATATACTCATTTATGTCAAATTTTGTTGTTCACTGATTTCAGTGCAGGTTGGGCCTTAGTTGATATTAAGCTCAGTTCGACCGACTTGACTTACACCAAAGCAGTCTAATCGCTTAAGTAAATTCTAAAACACGTCAACCAATGATGTCAATAGTTAAATAATTAAAATTAAAAAATAGATAGACATATGAAAAATTATAAAATAAATAAATTTTATAGAAAATTTTAACATATCTAAGATATTATACATTTATTATATTAAACAAAGATAAATGTGATAAACAATTATTTTTAAAATTAATTATGAAAATGGATTAGAAATTTAAAGTTGCTCAAAATTAAGATCACTTTTTCATTCAAGTCATAGACACATGATGTTATAATTATATAATAAAATCTCAAAATAGATAGAAAAAAATAAAGAAAACACAGCATTTTACACATCTCTAATATTATATATTTATCATATTAAGCAAAAATAAATATGATAAAGAAGTATTTTTTATTAAAAATAAAATGAAATACAAAAATTAAATTCACCAGCACACCATTATTTGATTACTTATCTTTTTCAATGGGTTCTGATAAGGATATTCAGATTATCAATGTTATCTAAAATTACCATGTATGATGCATGCTATTTTTTAGTATATTTAAAATATATATTATATTATATTGCCAAACAGGCCTTAAGTGTTGGGTTCAAGCCCAATCCAAAATTTTCCGAGCTTGATGCAGGCTTGGGCCAAGCTGGGCCTGCACACAAAAACTTGGGCCCAGGCAAGAAAATTTGCAGCCTAGGCGGACCAGGCTAAGAATAATCATACCCCTATTAGCGGTTCTGGTGTCTGAGTTCAAATGGGATTTCCTATTCACTTTTCCTACCCACTCTCCAATTGAGAAATGTGTAGTGGGTAGGAAATCTGAGTTCCTCTGAGTTTGGTTATACAAACAATAGTATCCACACCAGACATAACCTGTAGGACAAGGAAGAAAAAATAACGGGGAACCGCCTCAGGTTCACCATTAAGCATGGTTTTCAAAACCAGACCGAATCGGACGGTCGGACTGGAAAAACTGGGAACAGGTCAGGTGACCGGTTTCATTTTTCCCCAAAACCAGATTTTTGCCAAAAAAACATTGATTTGATCAACAAACCGCTGACCCAGGTGGTTGAACCATTTGAACCGTTCAACAGTTTTGACCATTTTTTTAATTTTTTTTTTTAATTTGTCAGAATGGGCCAGCCATTCAAACCAAACCGTCAGACTGTTCGACCCGGGAACCAGACCCCTGACTTGTTCGAGTCAGTTTTAAAAACCTAGCCATTAATATCTCATGTCAATCATAGTAATCAACAACAATGACAAGCATTAATTCATAATCAACAAAAATTGTCATATCAGCCTTGGGGCTTTATAAAAAGAAATCCTCATGAACTTTGTAACCATGGAAATATTTAAGAGAGAAACCACCTGGATTTGCAGGCTGCCATTGTATACAAAGAAATCTTTCCCATAGCATGTCTCTAGTGCTGGGTTTTGTACATTGCATTCGTGTTATTTGAACACTTAACCATAGGAGTAGAATTGACTTTTATATGAAATTTCTGATCACTATCAACTTTTACAAGGGCAAACCATTAAGAACCTCTAAATAAGTTACCACAAGCACATTCTACAACAGACTGGACTATCATTGTCTTTGAGGGAAAATGTCTCCACTCAACTGGAAGATAAATTCAGTCCACAAACCCATACCACAAGCTAAGGTAGAAAAGAACAGTTGACTTTAACAACATCTAAGAATGAGACCGTATTACTATTACTACAACATCACCTTGTTTTCCTTGAACCCTATATTTGTTTCCCATCCAACTTTACTTGGCCAGCATCATTCTCACAAATTCCTCATAGTTGACTTGGCCATCACCATCAATATCTGCTTCACGAATCATCTCTTCCACTTCCTCATCTGTCAATTTCTCTCCCAGATTGGTCATCACATGCCGTAGCTGCTCAATTTCAAAGACACAGACACAGAAAATAAAGAAGAGTTATCTTTTTCTGGCAGTAGCAATAGCAAATATAGACTTTTTATGCAATAATGCCAATTAAAAGGGGCAATCACATAAACATGCATCAACAAATCCATCAAACATATCTTTGCTGCATGTTATCTCCTGGAGAAACTATGGTTTGTTTTGGAATTAGGAAGTTGACTGCAAATGTGTTTAATCTAAAAAAGCCAGTAGCCTGTAAAATCACTCAAGGTTGTATAATACAAGAATACATTTTTCTTTATTTTTTTCAGGGGGTAGCCCTCCCCCAAACCCCTAGACCCACCAACCCTGGTGAAGGCAGCAGGGCTTTATCCCAGGTCTCCGCTACAACCAGCTGGAAACTTTACCAGCAGACTGGCACCTTCGACTGCAAGGATAGATTTTTCCACACAACAAGTTGAAAATTACGATGGAAACAGCAAATGGATACCATACTTCTTCACTTACGTATCCTTCTATTTGTTGAGTTCAGGCTCATAATCATTTTCAATTTGCAAAAGAGGGTCATATCCACCCTTGTTGATTATTTCAAAGTAACAGAAATAATCAAGGAATTCCATGGGAGCCATCATAGAGAAAAGCCAAATAGATTTCAGGGGTATTGTTCTCATTTCAGCACTGGTACTGCATATTCAGATATTCTCGAGAGTTCTAAGAGATTGGCATCTAAATTTGGCCGTACAGCCATTTCATAGGAAATCACTCTCATGCATGTTTAAAGCTCAGAGACGTACTGCAATCCATGCATGTTCTTTAATTTAATCCAAAAAATGAAAAATGAAAAAAAAGCTCTACCTCAGCAGCAGAGATAAAACCATTTTGGTCCTTGTCAAAGACCTTAAATGCTTCCTTCAGTTCCTCCTCAGAATCAGTGTCCTTTGAAAGTAAAGAAGAATATTAGCAAAGAATGAGTGCACAGACAAATCTAAAAGCACATTGAGCCAAACTGCTAAAATGATATAATTATTATTGAAATGCCATTCCACTAGGCAGCTAGGCCTGATACTAGATAGACCAATGTATAACTAGCAACAACACATGATAAAACAAGATGCCTCTAAGATCATCAGCATTATTTCTAACATCCCAGCAGATGTGAATGTTTGTTCAATAAAAATGCTAGGGTGTTAGTACTCCATGGTCACATTTAAGACTTGACTGAACGATATAAATAAAAATGATATCCTTTTCCATTTTTGGCTAGAAAGAGAAATTAACATAATGTTCATGTAAAATGTCTACCAATGACTTTTTCTAGCAGTAACATTTTATCATTAAACATTTATCCAAATTGACAAGGACATGTAACGATGACAACATAGAATTATATCACAGACTTAAAAGTGGAAATAAAAAACTACTCAGATATGCAAAAGGCCAAATTTTAATGCATCCATGTAGAAATACACTCTGCATGGTAGGATGTTAGTAATATCCAGACAAAGGCACAACAAACTTCTGCTAAAATCCAAATTTAATGCCCAAAACCAAGTACTTGCACAGTTATACAGGAGATATTTTTCACCAAAACATGTGACAAATTTGGAGTTAGGACTTAGGATCAAGTCTGCAGCATCAAAAGCTCCATAGAATTAAAGAAAACATTTTAGTATTTGGGAGACCAGAGGCTGGTATAGTTTCCAGGAGGGAAAGAAAATGGATCAAAGAAAAGAAAGAATGAATTTGGAGTTAGGATCTAGTCTGCAGCTTCAACAGCTCCATAGACTTATAGAAAAAAAAATTATGCTTCGGAGGACCAAAGGCTGGCATAGTTTCGAGGAGGGAAACAAAATGGATCAAGAGAAAAGAAAGTAGGAACTTGCCAAAGCAGTTACCAGATTGGCTCAGGAAAAAAGTTGTGAAGTTGCACCACTATGAGCTGAAGCTGCATTCCTAGGATATCAAGATAGCAAACCGGTAGGATAATGTCTCAAAGTAGTAAAGCAGTAGTTAAATGTCTAAAATCACAAGTTCCACGCAATGATGGATGATTATAGTTTCGCCCCAATATTTTAGACATGGTGCACTGAAATTAGACTCACCTTCATCTTCCGTGCCATCAAATTGAGGAACTCAGGAAAATCAATTGTCCCATTTTGATCAGCATCAACCTCATTGATCATATCCTGGAGTTCAGCTTCTGTTGGATTTTGGCCCAGAGACCTCATAACTGTACCCAATTCCTTGGTGGTGATGCATCCTATAAAAAAAAAAAGAAAGAAAGAAAAGGAAAGAAAAGAAAATTGCATGTCAGCAAGAAAAGAATATTGATAGTAAACATTGCCAATAAAATGGCGTGTGTATAACTTGAAAAATCATCACTCATAGAATTCTCATGTTGCAAAAGTCCATAGTTCTGTCAGGGTAAACTTGTCTTTTGATAACCGAAAATATCATCATGAAACATCAATCAGATTGCCTTATTTTTATCATTTATAACCTGAAGCAGTTTCAATGTTTATTTTATCATCAAAACAAAATACAGTGCATAAATAACATTCATTAACCTGCAATAAACTGAGAAATTTTTGGCATGTCACCCCAAGATTCTGATATGGGACCATTACAAGAAGGCCAAGACAACTCAGACCAACAAATAACAAAGTAGAGGTTTATTATTAAAAAAAAAAAAGTAGCCCCTTAATGTAGGATCAGTTACTCTGATACCAATTAATGTAGGACAGAGATAAGTCAAGGATGACAATAAGAGGGAAAGAATGGGCTAAGAAATGTTTAGCAATGATTTCAGGACTAAAGAAAGGGTTTTATTGGGATTGGAGAGCTTGCCAAATTGTTGAGAATTACTGATTTTCCACAATGTTGTGATGTCTGAAATGTGTATTTTACAAATTTACCCCCAAATTGTTGTTTAAATAACAATATATAAAAATCATTAAAATACTAGAATATTATAGAAAAATTTATAAAATATTAAGAAATCATAAAATAAAAATTAAAAAATAATAAAAATATTAATGAATAATGTAACAAAATAATATTGTAAAAATAAGTAAAAACTTAAAAATATTGATAAAAACAATTAGATGAAATAAAAATGTAAATTAAAGAAATTTGTATATCAACAACTTTAGAGGGTTCATATATATAAATTTATATCAAGTTGGCTTTTTTACCTATGTTGAGGAGTAATTGAGTATGAAGAATAGGAAAGTACAGCATGGAACAAGTTGCTACAATTACAATTCAGGCTTCATAAACAATACATCATGAAAACCATTCTAGGATCATAGAAAAATTGGAAAGAGTGCATATACTGTTTGTGGTATATGAAATTAAACATGAATAGGAAAAAAATTGCATATAAATTTTCAGAAGATTGATCATGATTTTATCAAAAAAAATCCTGATAATTAAATTAAGAATTGGATCATTCCATTACACATGAATAAGTTTGAGCTGACGAGGTTCTCTATATGCCTAACAATTGCTTGATAAATTGCTGATCCAAGCTCTTGTGCAATAGATTTTATTGGAGCTCTAGCTCAAGAACCAGCACCCCATGTATGAACACAAAAAAGATGTTCAATTCATACACTCTTTGCTCAAAAGCCAAGATTGGAAAATGATAAAAAAGAAAAATCCAAAGAGTGTTTCTTGATCACCCACCCACCTGAGAGCCAGTTCAGAAGGGCTTAAACTTACATTGAGCTGCTAAACAATAGCAGTACAGTTGAGGAATACGAATACCAGAGGAAGAGAGATAAGCAACACAAGATTAAAGGAAAGTGATAAAATCATAAAAAAAAAGACACCTGCCAGTAGCCAGAATCCATTCCTAATGCATCGGTATGCTAGAGATTGAATGAGAGAAAAGCTTCCAAGTTACAGACTGTGAATGTCGCTACCACCGGAGAAGGTTGAGTGTGAAAGAGGAAAGCAAAGAGAATACAAGATGATTTTAGGTTTTGGTGTTTGAGGTAATTTTGGGAAATAATTATATTAATGGGAGATAATGATGTGGACGCGTATTGGGAGCAGCAGCAGCAATGATCCGGTGTTCTCATCCTATCCAATTCGGCAGCAACAGTCTTATCCATT